ATCAGAAGTACTGCCTTATGAAAAAACTATTTTTTCCTTTAAAACAAAACCAAAGACAATATGCAATAGATAATAGTATCAAAGACAAAGATATGCTCTTTTATTTTAAACCATAACCTGGCAAAGTTTCTTAGAAAAAAAAAAAGAAATCACTCTGAACTTTCGGCGTTCCACGTGTCGTTTTGATGAAGGTGCTCCGTCTTTTTTATAGAATTTTATATTTGTGTCTGGACTAAAAACGAAAGTATTATACTTTTTTATATTCCTTGTAATATAGTGAACACGTAGATATATAATTTGTGGTATAAAAAGTGAAAAGTAAATTGCCAAAAGTACTTCAAAATCTGGAAGACCCATTTTGGCGGTTGGGTCATAAATGTGTTATTTTTCAAATTCTCATTTATTTTTAGTGTAAAATGTAAGTAAAAATAGTTTTCTTACATATTTCAAATAACTTGACGTTGTATTTATTTCAAATTCACACATAATTATTTTTGAAATATTGTTCTAAATGTCACACAGATAAAATATTATTATTGTTTTTTTTTTAATTTTTTAATATATTAATATTTTGGTATGAGTAACGAATGGAAACATATAAAACATAAAAATATACATATTTCCAAACATTTTCATATAAATTTCTCCAAAAACAAAAGTGTAGAATTCAAATTAGTAGTAATTTTGTCACTAAAATTGAAGTATATGCTACTACTATGCTATACAGGGTAATTTATGTATTTTATTACAATTTCTAGCAACCAAAAATAATTTTATTCGATAGTTTATACATTCAACAAGAAATCCTGTAAGTTTTATCCATAAATATTGTCTCAAAGTGAAAATATAGCAAAATTTGCAATATAGCAAAAAATTTTCTAACTTACAAATTTTCCCGCCATTAAGGTCCCGAGCGAACGGGAGTATAACATGTCGCGCGCTGTCAGAGCCTTTTTTTTTTTATTTTGCATGGGGAAATGCCTACGCATACCCGCCTCGCGGGGGCAAGGACGGGTTATGTCGGACTCGCACCGACTAAAACCCCATGGTGTTCCACCTTTGTCGCATATTGGCAGGGCTACGGGAACGCTTTCGCACACATCCGCGGCCCTACTAGCGCCTGCCGCCCCATGGCAGCACCTCCTCGGGAGAGGAAAATTCCTCCCCGTTCTCCTTCCCAGGTAAGGCGCACCAGAACACATGGCGCGCCTTCCTCCACGGCCTCCAACTACGTCTGTGCAACAGACGCCCCCCGCGTCCGATGCACAAAGGCCATGGGGCCAGGAAAAACGAGCACTTAGAAGTACTAGCCTTCCCGACCCCAGCGGCGGATCTGGTCTATGGCTCCGCCGCCAACCAAGATTCGGTTGCGGAGGGTAGGGAGAGCGGCGCCTCGCAATACCGACAATCCTCTCCCCCCGCAGCCCCACCACCACCGCATCAACGGTGCGGCCCCGTTTGAGTCGCGAAGGATAGTGCGAGTGGCGCATCGCCATACCAACACTCCTCTTCCTCCGCGACTCCACCTCGGCTGCAGCGGTAGAGGGTGCGCGAGTCCCCACTCGCTGCAGTCCACCAGCACACATCCAAAGTGGGCTCCCCAAGCCCACTCGGAGCGGCCACCTCAGGCCGGCCCTTCACCTCGGGCCAGCCACGTGGGTTCCTCTTTGTTCACCGTGGGAGACCAAGCCACGGCTACTAAGCCCCCCCGCCACGACAAGGCGGGAACCCGTTCGGGGGGCGCTGTCAGAGCCTGGGAGCTAGTAATATCAGCGATAGAAGGTTGGGGTGCGACTGGAAAGCCGCGAACATTTATTTATTATATAAATAAGGCATAAAGTTGCGTTAATTCTGCTAACAAATTTGTGTTAGAAACATGCTATCAGCGCCACTAGATTTGAAAAACTATTTGACGATATGACCATAATATCATGAAATAGCGATATGTTTTATACCGTCTAACAATCTCTATTCATTGATTCGGAGAAGCTATATTATAATTTATGACATCATGCCACAAATAGTATTAAGTTACTACTACTATTTCACGAAATGACAGACTATTTTAAAATATGATTAGTCTACGACCTGGCCACGACAAACATATAAAAATCTCTTTGATCAAACTATAAGGAAATGAGAATTTTGCAATAATTGCAAGCAGACCGATTTAAATCAGTTTACATTTACATTAGTAACTGAACTAAAAACCATATCCATTTTCATATTTTTCATAAACGTCACTATATTATCTATTTAACTTATACACTTTTTAACATATAAATATAAGTTATTTTATTATATTTTATATTATTTATTACAAAGGGAAAATGTACTTTTTCTATTTGATAATAGATGGCGGTGTTTTGAAAACTCAATGGTATTTATTTGAAAAAAAAAACACCAGTCATTTTGCATACTTGTAACTAACAGAATAATATAATATATTATTATATTATAATAGAAAATTGACATCTAAAGGAAGGAAAATAATTATTAACCTTCTTTTTTGAAGTTCCATAATCGGATAAAAATACCCTATAAGTTGCCCCTGGTTAACTAACTACATAGAAAATTTCATGGATATCGGTCCAGTAGTTTTTGCGTGAATCTTGAATACACAGACAGACAGACAGTAAAACAAAAATTCTAAAAACCACTAATTCGGCTTTATAGTACATTTTACTTAGTCCCCTGGGCTTGTTTCTTCAAGAATATATTAGAATTACAGACACTACTTTTCTATAGATTTATTATATGTGTAGATTATATTATTTAGTATTATTTATTATAGTCAACCAAATCTAAGAAATACCTTTTGACGTTTCACATTAATTATTCAGCAATAACTTTGCACAAGCGTACTCACACGATTTAAAATAACCTTTTACGTAAATCCGAAGAATTATAAGGTTATCTATATTTCTTTACAACGTGTATAGTTTTTAATCACTAATTTCAATTTGAATCTTTCAAAAAAAGGAAAATATTAAAAAATACCCAGTATCAACGTTTTTACTTGACGTCGTATCAATGATACGTCGCTATGTACATTACCGTAGTGTTTGGATGATTAAAATTCATTGTTATGGGAATAATCGGCAAAAATATTCAAATAATCGGTAAAATATTCAAATAATTGGAGCATTAATTTTCTTAATGTATTTATTTGTTTAATTTAATTTTTATTTTTAAAATTCCTTAAATTACATGAATCATGAACAAAACAAGTTTATTTTTTTAATTTGTCAACGTAAATTTGTAATTTTTAAGCAAAGAAAATTAATATATACAAGGCCGCGCTAAAAAATCCACTACGTAATTTCAATATCCGCCATTTCGGGAGCTTACTGTGCGTAATTTTGTGATTTTGTGTTAGTCTTCTTATTTTGTGACTCGGTTTTAACTTTCAAATGCTTGCAAATCAACAGAACAAATGTTTTACGCATGATACCAACCTGAACAGAGAACAGGTTCTAAAAATTGATCAACTGACAACTCCTGTTAATATTTTAATGTTCAGTGACAGTTGACACTATTATAATCCGGCAAACTATAAGTGCACAGAAAATATTGGATTGCGCTATGTAAACAATTGTATTTCGGTTTTAGTTGGCTTACATGTTCATTCATTATTCATTCACCAACTCTAGAGTAACAATACCCAGTATTAGCTACTCTACTTTTGTTTGTGTTGGAAAAACGCAAACGAAGTTATGTGAGAGTAAGACTAAAGAGTAAATTTATTCGAAAGTTATTTACTCTGGAATGATATGGTATTTGGTCGAATCCGCCCTTAGACAATCAGCGTATAAGTAAAATAAAAATAAATATACATATATAATATCGATAGAGAGTTTGCATGTCTATTGAAAAATTGTGCGTGTAATTGTGTACTGTTATTTTATAAGTTTTATTGTGTACTGGTCTAGTGGTTGTAAATGCGACTGCTGATCCTGAGGTCCCGGGTTAAATTCGGACTCGGCCTAAAACAAAATCAGATATTGAGTTTTTCCGTTAAGAAATTCTTAGAAGCTGCCCGGAGTCAGGAAGTTGGTGATGTTTCACCCTCGTGCCTCGGAAAGCACGTAAAAGCCATTGGTCCTGCACCTGATCTCACTCCGGTCTCGTTGGTTTATCGCTTTTTTATTTATTATGTGCGAGCAGCTATGTAGGTTTAGGGAAAGAGATCAGTATCACTACGACCTAGAAGATCTATTGTGATCGCTGCTATGGCTATAGTTCACAGCTAAGCCCTATGTCTTCAATGAATAGAAGGAGTTGCTTAGCCGTGAGCAATTTCACTTCTTCTGGGCGGAGTACATAGTTTCCCAGATGAGTGTTACGTTTGCGCATTAAAGGTCCGCAATCAGTTAGGATGTGTAGAGGCGTTGGTTTACCGTTCCATCGGTATATGAGAATGAGGGAGTAGAGCGTGCACCTGTGCTTGCGCATACACTTGGGTATTTTAATCCTGTCCTGCGCCGATGGTTAGGGTCCGTTGTGGCTTGCCGCCGCGCCGTGAACGAAATTCGGTTTGGAGGCCCTTAATATTCATGCATATATACTCATGCAGCCCTAGCCGTGAAACCTGACAAATAATGTGACATTTTTTATATCTAATACTGTACAAACTTTCTCCAACACGTCGATAAAGAAGTTTTCCTTCAAAATAACATATTTCGAGGACATGTAAAGTCTGCCAACTTGCATTGCAGCAGCGTGCCGGACTAATTGCTCCATTACCTATTAGAAATGCATCATCATAAATGAGAGGAGTTCCTGTGCCCAACATCGCGAAGCATAAGAACCGTTACTTTGTTGTTTGTGCATAATTTAGCAATAATTGTTTTAGTTCACAAATCATAACATAGTCGATTTTCCTTTGATAATATTTAGCTCTATTTAACTTCGATTTATTTAGTTCATTTGCCAGTTTTTGTGATTAGCGGTATGCTTTTGTGAACTTTTATAATTAATAACGGTTTATTTGTTTTCAGCCAGAAACATCTTGCAGCAATTACATGTATCAAACTTTGACATGTAAGAAAGGAAGATTGTGAATATTCATCCTTCTAATAATTTAATATAACATAATGTGTGATATATGAATCTGTATTATTAATATACATTTGTGGGCATATTTAGAGGTACTTAAATAAATTGAGACAGATTATTAGCATAAAAACAGTATGTGTGTAATCTTTTTATAAGGATTGGTTAAAAAAATAAAAAATATATAGCTTTATCACAAAAAAGTCGTAAATTCATAATTCTAGAAATTAATTTAAAAAACTAAAGGGTTTAAACTAATGTATTTCCCGGGGTGGTAGAACTCTTTTTCTCTATCAAGCAGTTAATATCGCCCTCTTACCTATTTCTGCTGCAAGCATCTGTGCTCCCACTCCTGTGCTCCGATTTGAACGATAAGAGCCAGTATGATTACTGTGACTGTGAGGCATTTCATCTTAGTCCTCAGAACTATGCACCTCTAGCCTGCTTTGTTTGAAGTCGGTTTTGGATGGGTTTATATGAACAGTTAACACCAGGTGAACTGTTACTTCGTTGCTCTAATGTCATAAAAATATTCACTTTGACAGAGAACTTTAAATAAAGTTCTCTGCTCTAGCAGCCGAAATTGCATGTATGTTATATGCCAGGTATTCGTTTTTCAAGATGTGTTAGTTCCGTTCACGCTCTAATACAAATACCTCCTACACTGTTACTACGTTATACACTTAGCTATAACCTTTTTATCATTTAAGTTAAGATAAAATCGGTACCAGTTAGTACCATTGCTTTACTACAAGCATTTCCCTGTTTTGGTGTGAAGGAACTAGCCTTTTAACGAATTGACCTTTTGTAAGTTAAGGCGTTTATGCTATTGATACCAGCCAGTATTTTTTTTAAAATTGTATACTAATCGTCACTTCTAGAACTATCTGAATATTATTTCCGATTTGATCGAAGTATGGTTATTATTATAGATCTGTCAATTATTTGTTTCTCTTCTGAGACTTTGCCATTTGTCTCTCGAATACTTCCCCAGTCCGTTCCAATATCGTTTAACAATGTAAAAGTGACAGATACAATTTTCAGTAGCAGTAACAATTTTCAGTTAAAAGCTACAGATCGAAAACTAGATAAGTTGGAGGATCCGACATTATAAAATTAGGCTTACGTAAAATGTTTGCAAAAAAACATTACATAAATTTTCATTCATGCTAATACACTTAGCCGAAACGAAATCATTAATGCATGGCCGATAAAAATCAAACAAAAGACGATTAAATACCGTTTTTCATAATCAAGTACGTGATCTTCACACTACACCTGAGAAAAAAATATTAACATTTTTTTCGGTCCCTAACTATGTCCATAAATGTATTTAATGCTTGTGTTGATTATCAATAATATCAACACAGCTTGTATATTTGGAATTAATAAAGCTTAATGTAGCTAAATTGAATTTTTTTGTTTTGTCAATAACTGTTTAATATATACAAATACCTTTATCATGTACTCAATATTAAATTCAATTATAGCTGCAAATTTAAATTTTTGTGGATAATAATAGTTATTGTTAAATAAAATATAATGCTTGTTTCATTCATTTATTTGAAAACCTTAAACTATTTGGCACACGTTCAGGAATAAGAATTTGTATGCCTTTTTTGAATCTAATAAACCAATTTATTAAGAAAGACAAGATTCCAGTATTGACTTTCTCAAATAATTGATAGATAAAATTATACATAATAACTGATGGAAAGATAGGTCATTTAAAACTACAAAATAATTGCGATGCATTTTCTTAAGGCTTCGTTAGTTCTTAGAATTCTTCTGTATCCAAGGCAAGAATGACGTTACACGTGTATAAACGCCGGGGTACTGTCCCTTTCCACAACCAATACCCCAAGAGACTATTCCTACTTGAGTCCATCGATTACCCTCGTTGACCATTAAAGGACCACCACTATCACCCTGTAAAAATGGAATACTATTATAAAAATATAAACTAAACAATTAGATGACATACAAAGTTTTATTTCAGTATATCTGTTAAAAAAAATTCGATGATTTAGGAGAAAAATTCACTTGTATTTTGTTTTTGAATCGGATCGGGTTATTCCCTTTATTCGCCCTAAAGAATCCACCCTAGGGTGGATACTCGAAAACGCGTGTCCGTCTGGGGTGTGTGTCTAGGTAGGGTAACTCTGTCTGGGGTGGATATTGGGAACCACAAACCTTATCAAAAACCTTATTACGTGTTGCGGTTAGCGTTACCGATACCGAAACACCCTATTAAAGTCCACGCATTACGTATTCCGTTTAGTCATGCTGCAATTATATTAGTAGTATAGTTGTAGCACGAATGGGTCGGCTCGACCGGGGAAGGACCACGCTCTCACAGAATACCAGCGTAAAACAGTAGTTTAATGCTGCTGCGTTTCGTATGGTGAGTGTGGAGAACCGGAGACCCTTATTACTGGAAACGAGGCATTCCATCTTAGTCCTCACGGGTGACAGCGCATCTGCGTTTTGATGAGTAATCGAGGAAAGATGTAGATGTCTACGGGCCACAGCAACCACTTACCGTCAGGTGGACTGTGTGCTCGTTTGTCACCCTATAAAAAAATCTAATTAAACTTCCTCGTTTTAAATAAAATTATAGCGCAATTTATAAATTCTGCAATATGTCCAGGTAACTATCAACTCTAATTTCATAAATTGAGTAGACGCAATATGATATCCTGGATAAATATACCACTTGATGTACATTTGCAATCGTTTTTTAAATTTCTTTATTCACAGATGTCTTAGCTAAGAATTGCGCATTTTGCAAGAATTTCTAAAACCTTACGATTGGAAGTTTGTCTTTAACTTTATTTTAAATTATTTTATTCCAAAAATTGCAATGAATCTGTACTACTGAGAGATACTCCTTTTATTTCAACGTTGACCTTTCAAAAAATAAGTATGTATATAGGTTTTTTATAGGTAATGTCTACTAAGTATCTTGAGCCAGTTTTTAATCATGTTTCTATAAATGACTGTACACAGCACCAGGGGAAAGTCGGAAGAAAATGATATATTACGAATTCCGACTATCCACCCGTTAGGTATAGGTGTATAAATATTTTTATCCGTTACGGATTAATCGGCGTGTGAAACTGTTCAACTCTGTACACATACTTTAGAAATGTCACGAATAGTGACTATGAATATTTGAGGAAAGATTTGCTTATTTTGCACGAAAAAATTTACAAAATGAAAGTATTCATTACTTTGTTTGCGAGTAATTAGCCGAATATTGAATACAGAAAATGAAAGGTTGAATACCAAACAGTAACTGAATATTTGTTGCATCCACCATACGCTTGCACATGCACATGCACCATACCCATAGCGCTTCCCATCGGGCCCAGATTATATGATTGTCTTTTTTGGCTATAAAACAATATATTATATAATAATATACAAGTAGTTTTTTTGTCCATAACCCAGTAAATCAGCTTTATAAAGTTCCAACTAAAAGTACCCATAGAGATAATCATTACGTTTTAATAGTATCTAGCAGTTCAGACTTAACGTTGGAATTATACAGGGTTATTTTTCAGAGTAGCGAAATTTTATACTTAAGTTCAAATATATAAATAACTAGCGATCCGCCCCGGCTTCGCACGGGTGATTTTTGATTCTCGGCAGCAGCGCCACCTACCCGGCCCAACTGAGTTTTTAAACCATCCAGGGACGCGCTGAAGTACACACAAAAACATTCATCAAAATCTTTCGAGCTGTTTTCAAAGAATCATGCCCACTTTCCATACATCGATTGACCTATCAATTGACTTCTTTAACAGGTCGAGTTTACCTACAACTAGTGTTGTATAAAAACAATTATTGTTTATAATAACATCAACTTATCGTCATTTCATTTAGAGGTCAGGTAAAAATGATATTAAGTAAATAAGTTTTTGAGGTTATAATAGCAATCAGATTAGGTCTGTACACTGATTTTTCTTTCCACATCATAGTATAAAACGATAGAAAATCGTATCTAATAATTAATAAGTTATAAAAAATGCAATTGGTTATTTGGACATTCATAAACCAATGAACAAATTTTTGTTAGTCTGAAACGGAACGTGTAAAACAAGTTTTTTATATATTTTGGCATGGATTCTTGGTCTTTGAGACATTGTAAAACACGTTCCGTCTCCACAAGTCTATTGAGAATGATAAATATATTAACATTACTTTTTTTCCTGGCTTCATTTGAAAATTCAATTATGCGATACTTAATAAGCAAAAAATATGCAATTTATTATACATCACTAGATGCGTTAGAAAAAGTTTCAGGTCAAGACTGGACATGATTTTTTTAGCGAGACTAAAGGACAGCAATGATTTTTGTGTATAAGATATAAGAAGATGGTATACCGTTATTACAGTTTTTGAAAGTACGAGTAAATAAGGCTTCTACTTTTTTGAAATTATTCCAAATTGAATGTAATTTATGGGCCACACTATGCGTACTCGCGCTGTGTGCGATTCAATTCAGTTTTTGCCGACCGACCGACCGTTATGAATGTGCGTGCGTATTAAAATAGTAGGTGTTAGATATTTATAAATGAAAATCAGTTAAAATAATGCATTACCATGCACTCTGAATTTAAAAGAAATAAAAGGATAGCATGTTTGATATTTTTTTTATTAATTTTTCGTCACCATTCGCCTATATTACTTATTCTGAACCTTCTCTTCAAATTTGGCCGTATATTGCAAAATAACCCTGTATATAACAAGTCGTTCTTAAGTTATGCGATCACTAACAGATGCATTAACGATTCTATTACGTTATAAAGATTTATGTTCATTTATTAGCAAAAGTTGAAAAATGTAACTCACACTACATGAGTCCATGCTGGCCCTGCCTGCGCAAATCATGTGATCAACAATTCCTCCTGGAGCCGCAATGCCGTACTTCAACCTACAATCGGAGTTTTGCCAAATTGGAATCGTTACTTCTTGCAAAACTGATGG